AAATAAATATTTGATTGGAGTATAAGGGAAGGAATCCCTAGGAATATTAAAATCTCCTGGAGAGTATATATAAATATAGTCGAGGAAACCTAGAAAGTAGAATAAAAGACAGTGATAGAAAGAAGATAGTAAACTTACAGTGTCAATTCAGGGTCTAGTATTTGACTAGAAAGTTCTAATGAAAATACAGGAGAGGAAGGATGGAATTAGGTAAGAAAGAGTTACTAAAAATAAAGAGGTCTCAGAACTGAAAAACATGACTTTCCAGAGAGGAAGGACTCATCTGGAAAGAATGAAAAAGATGCACACCAAGCCATGCGTCATGAAATTTCAGGACACCAGGAATATAGAGAAGATTTTACTCACAGGGAATACAATAGGAAACACGTGACACAAGAATAATAGGACCATGTAATTTGGGATGTTGGTAAGACAGTTGCTCAAATGTAAGACCTTAGATTCTGTATTAGTGCAAAGGGATGTCGTCTTTCTCATTTTTCTGTTGAGGTGATGAAATATTTTAAGTTCAGTAATACTACTTTCAGTGACTGCTCACCAAATTTTCTTAACTCTGTCCTAAGCATTATTCATTCCAGACATACGTTCAGCGACATGTGGAACAACCCACCAGGATTATACGCCAGAACTTAAGCTCAGTATACCCAAAACACAACCTGTCTCTTTTAGAACTCATTCTTTCTTTTGACTTTGCTATTTTTATCATTTAGAACTTCAGAATATTCTTTACCTCCTGTAACCAGTTGTCAGTCTTTTCAGTTCTGTGTTTTAGTGTTTCTCACATCCACTCCCTCAATTTCATCTCTCGCTTTCATTCTACTTCATACCTTCATCATCTTTAACTTGTGATGCTGGATATCCTCACCTTTCTCTGTCCGTGTTCTGATAAACCTAGCCCTGGTTTAAATCACGTTAAACGCAATACTTACTACTTCAGTACTTGTCATATGCTGAATAAAGTTCAAATTTTCTCAGACTGACACTTCCAGCCTTTCAGTTTATACTTTTTTCCACCCTTTGAGTATCTTTCATAACTTTCTCCATAAATCAAAACTCTTGTTTTTTTTTGTTTTTTTGGTTTTTTTTAAACACAGGGTCTCACTCACCCAGGCTGGAGTGCAGTAGTGCAATCTTGGCTTACTGCAGCCTCTACCTCCCAGATTCAAGTGATTCTCCCACCTCAGCCTGCAGAGTAGCTGGGACTACAGTCGCTCTCCACCATGCCCAGCTAATTTTTGTAGAGATGGGTTTTCGCCATGTTGACCAGGCTGGTCTCAAACTCCTGACCTCAAGTGATGTACCCACCTCAGCTTCCCAAAAGCGCTGAGATTACAGATGGGAGCCACTGCACCCAGCCTAAATAAAAAAACTTTTTACTCAGACTAGATTATACTTTGTTCCCTTATGATTATCGTCTGATTTACTGCCTTGGTGCCTTTTCCTATACTAAACACTCCATCCTATATGCCTCTCCCACAAGCCCCCCACTGCTGGTAGAAATAGCCACCATCCACTATCCAACATCCATTGAAGAAGGCCCAATCACATGCCATTCCCTCTATGATGCTCTGTTAGGGACTAGAAGATTACATATCTAGGGATATTAACCCTGAAAATATTTTGTTTTATTTTTAGTTTGCCTGGTTGTTTATTTTGTTTCTCTTTAAGATTAATATGGTCAGAGACTTTTTGTCTTATTTGCTGTTTCTCTGTGTCCAAGATGAGCATGACATATTAATAAGTATTTGTTGAATAAATGAGTGAATGCTATCAGAGCATTATAGGTTTTATGTTAAATGGGTTTGGTTTTCAATTGCTTTATTGTTGTTTTTAAATTTTAAATTATTGTTCCTTAAACTTACTATCAAATAAGTGCATTTTATAAGTTGTTTGTTTGCTTTAGCCGTCAGTATGTAGGCTATAAATAGATAGGCTAAATACTACCTATTTGCATCAGTAGTATTTTTAGCCTGTTGTTTTCCAATAATTAGATTTTAAAGCATATAGTTTTAACAATAAGCGATACTTACCGAACACTTACTTTGTTCCAGGGACCGTTTCAAGTGCTTTGTATATGTTTTAATTCGTTTAACCCTCAGAACAATATTGTGAATTAAGTACTACCATTAACTACGTATTTTAGGTGAGAAAACTGAAGTACAGCAGTGAAGGGTTTAACAACTCACCCAAGGTCATGCATCTAGTAAGTTTTGGAGCCAGGAACTCTGACTCTAGTATATGCACTCCAAAACTTCACTGCTATATGGTTCAAAAATAAATGACCCTGTTGGGAATATTCTAAAAAAAGATTGTGGTGATGGTTGTACAACTCTGTAAATTAACTAAAAATCATTCAGTTGCACACTTAAAATGGGTGAATTTTATGGTCTTAAAATATAATTTGATAAAGATGTTTAAAAAGTGGGTGATCTATATTCTTATTAAAATGGATTATAATTTTTTTCAATATTTCATGTACAGTGGAACTTTTAGTCCTGAGTTCTCTTGCCACTGGAATATGGGAATGGGTGAAGTAGGCAATCTGTGCCTTGCCTAAGTTGGCTAAGGACACAAAAGTTTATATGTCACTGTTACGAGCTCTTTGGGGGTGAGAATTTTTTCTTCCTTACCTTTGGATCTGTTGGTATGTAAACCATGCGTAGCAGGGACTTGATAAGTATTTGTTGAATTAAATCTCAAGAGCTTTATTTACCTGCACTGTGGATACTTAAATTGTATCCTCAGAAATCCTGGCTTTCATAGTCTAATTTTAAAATATAGACCTTGTGCAGTATACTTAAAAGGTAAAACATATACACTGCCTAGATGCATAGATATTAACATATAGAAGGGAAAAATGTAACTGATGAAAACATTATATATAAAACTTTGTAGATTAATCTGATTACATATTGATCAAAGTTGCTTGAGAAAGCCAGAAGAAAAATTGAATTAACATAAGTATTTACTTATAAAGGTTTTTAAAAGTCTTCTGAAAACATTGGAGCTCACAGATAAAATTGGAAGAATTAAAATTTTCTGCTAAACATAGCAGAATAGAAAACATATGAATATTTATGGATGTGTATTGATACTTAGGACAGAAAAAATGGAAATCAATCATGAACCAAAAACTTCAGTTTAAAATATATCCATAAGAGATGCTGTTATAGAGTCAAATGTGTAAATATAAGCAAGCAGTTAATATAATCTTATATTTTCATTATATTGAATAAGCAGATTCAAGAGAAGGATGTAATTTCACTTTGTCACTATTTAGTGACTTGAATGTAGTCAAAATATAAAGGTCAAAATTTAAAAAAATTTATTTTAAAAAGTAAGATTTTATTTGTTTATTTGTTTGTTTGTTTGTTTTGAGACTGTGTCCTGCTGCGTTGCCCAGGCTGGAGTGTAGTGGCTTAATTTTGGCTCACTGCAACCTCCGCCACTGGGGTTCAAGTGATTCTCCTGCCTCAGCCTCCCAAGGAGTTGGGATTACCAGGTGCCCACCACCAAGCCTGGCTCATTTTCATAGTTTTAGTCGAGATGGGGTTTCATCATGTTGGCCAGGCTGGTCTCGAACTCCTGACCTCAAGTGATCCACCAGCTTCAGCCTTCACATAGGGAAAAGTGAAGGAGGAAGTGGGAAAAGGTTGAGATGGGTGGATATATCAGATCAAATAGGGCTGTTTTGGCTATGTAGAGTTTGGATACTCTTCTGAGGGTAATGAGAAGCCATTACATGGATGTTAGGAGAGGATTGGCATTATTCAAGTTACATTTTTAAAAGAATCATTCTGGCTGTTCTGCATGGAGAATAACTACAGGGAGAGAATGGTGGAAGCAGGGTGACACATGAGGGGCTATTTTAGGCATAAAGGTAAATTCCTGGACAAGGGTTTTAGTGGTGAAGGTAATGTTTGGATTCTGAAGATTTTTTGAAGCCAGAGCTAGCAAATGGATAATGTAGGCTCATTTTTTACAGTGTTTTAAATTATGCCTTTTTTTAAAAAAAAGAGCTGGGCAATAGATAATTTAATTTGGAAAATGATTTCATTAAACACATTTGCTCATTCCCTGTCATGGTGCCTTATTCTTTAATGGTTAATGGGCTCTTTGAGAGTGAAGAATTTGGGTTGCATGAAATAGGGGAAGCATGTTTTGAATTTGTGTTATTCTAGCTAATTTTGATCAGTTAATTTTATTTTTATTATTATCTGGTATCATTTGGCAATGTGGAGTAAATGCTCCCTAATTCTTAAACAAACAAACACAAACAAAAAACAAAAAATCTTTTGGCATGTTACAAAGCACAATTAGTCCTCTATGGTTATCTAGATAGGGCTATGTCATCTAAAATGGTCAGACTCTCTGCAGGATGACTATAGTCTCTAAAAAGCCTATATAAGGGATGCCTCTCTCTAGTAGAGATATTTCCTGAGCCATGTTTCTCAGCATCAGGACAGCTATGATTTATTTTGCAAGCGGACAAGGCCAAACATTACTGTTTTAACTATTATAAACAAAATAGTAAATGTTAAATGTTCACTTAATAGAGCCACTAGTAGGGCTTTTTATATACACAAAGTAAAGTCTGAGCCAAAAATGTGAAACAGTTCTCTGGTCTGTGTGCATTCTCTTTTAACCTACTCTTTGATTCATTGCAACTGGAGAAGTGATGCAACCAGTGATGATTTGCACTCCAGAGCTCTTGGTGCTGCAGCGAGTCCTCCTGTTTTGTTTTGTTTTGTTTTTTCTTCTACTAATTACCCAAGCCATAGTAATTTATCAAATTTCTTAAAACTGTTCAGAGATGTTTATTATAATATGTTAGTTCCAAAATAAAGAGCTTTGCAAGATTCTGTTAAACCTCAACCTTTTAGAATATTTTAAAATATTTACCAGGTTTTTTTTTTTTTTTTTTTTTTTTTAAGCAGAAATTTAAACCGGTAATAGTCCGCAAAATGATACAAAACTATCTTAAAAATGTGGAATGCTTCACAAATTTGCATGTCATCCTTGGGCCGGGGCCATGGTAATCTTCTCTGTATCATTCCAATTACAGTATATACGCTGCCGTGAAAACAATGTTTACCAGTTTTGTTCTTTATCAGTTTTTATGGCTTTCAGCTTTAGCCTACAAAGTTATGCAAGGATCAAATATTAATTCAGATTTAATTTTAAAGTTACTTCCCCAGTTTTTTATAGTTAATTACAGAAAGGACTATTCTCATTGAGTGGTGTTTTCACTGAGTAGTCTGTTTTTGTTTGTTTTGTTTTTTTGCTGCTTTGTTGTTTTTTGCCATCAAGGTTTTAACCTGGGTAGTAAACACTGATGCTGCATTGATGCTCATGGAGCAGGTGGCTAAGGAGCCAATCACTGCATTTGTCAGGTAGTAACCCTGTTTTATTCTGAAAAACAGTTTTTATATGCTTTCTGTTTGAAAATATAGCAGAAAAGACCTATTATACTTGTCTTATAAAGCTGTATTTTTTTAATCGCAGAAAATTAGCATTTTATATTGTGACTGACTATACACATATCTTTGCACAGACACACAGGCATATATGAAACTGAAAAAGGAGTTAACCATAGCAATTCCTATTGCAGTGTGCACTCCATTTTTTTGTATCCTGATTTGTTCCATATTTAAAGTACTGATCATAACCTATTACATTGATTTTAGGACCCACTAATGAGTAAGAATTCAGAATTTGAAAACCACTTCTAAAGCATGCCTCAAATATAATTTGATCTTTTCAGAAGCCTTGTGAGATAGGCAAGGCTAATATTAACCCTTTTCAAACATAGCTAAAGCCTACACTTTGAAAACAGAAGTTGGACTAAAGAATTGAAAACAGAAAAAATGATTTAGGGTGTTGAATGAGCAGAGGTCATCATGAACACAGTGTACACTTGAATGGTGATGGAGAGGAAGAGGGGCTGCAGAGATTTAGAACAGAAAGCAGATGGATGTAGAAGATGTTTTATTTGCCTCAGGATTTTTGCCTAAGCCCTTGAAGACATCAGGTATGCCACTAGAAATCACCTGAGGCTAAAATTTACCAGATTGTTGGTATCTTGAAAAGCTACCAAAATTAGTTTGCAAGGCTCTACCCATCAGCTTCTTACAGTCTACCTCTAGACATCTCATCTATACCATTCCAGTCCAATTTCTCGAGGTAAGTCTATTTCCCAAAATTCACTTATTTGCATACTTTTATAATTTTTGTCATATGTATACATCACCACATTGTTTTTTAAATTGTTAGAAATGGATTTATTTATTCCAAATAATTAAAAAATTTGAGATTAACTTTAGACATTAATCATTTAAAGCAAACAATCATTGGTATTTAGTGTATTCACAATGTTGCAACCACCAATTCTCTAGTTTCAGAAGTTTCATCACCCCATAAAAACACCCCATACCTCTTAAGTAATCATTCCTCATTCCCCCATTTAAAAAAGAAACATTCTAACACTATCAAAAATGTAAAAAAGCAATGTGACTCTAAAAAGAGCATAGCAAATTCTGAAAATAAAACAATCATTAGCCAGATACTAGCTAGATACTGTTATCTACCAATTCTCTGTGTCTTAGATTTTTCTATGTTAAAAGGGATATAGGCAAAAGTTATGGAGGTATTAAAGACCAATCAATGCTAAATCAAGACTTTCTGCTTGGTCGAACTGAAAGAATTGAAGGAAATTTCAAAACTATACCTTTCTCACTATGAGATTCACTGCTGTTTAGTGTCATTTCCTTTAACTAACATCTAAAATTTGTCTTGATACAGCTGAATTCATCCTTTCCTTCACTGTAGTATTAAAGGGGTTACGTATTATTCCCAGAGTCCTTTATAACTGAATTCCTGGAATTCAGAGAGTGTGTTCTAAATATTGGTGATTGCAGTTTTCATTATTATCCTCAAACATATAAAATGCGTTATTTACCAAGTAGTAAACTGGATGCTTTCAGAATTTTAAAGAAAAGGTACAGATACGACTTCCAAATAATATAAATCTTTGTTGTGAAAATCAGTGTATGCACAATTAACACTTAGAATATAAAACTGATAATATTAAATAGACAAGTAGATTGTGTTCTAAAAGTTATCCGGTTTAAATTATTTGGAACTTTTATGCTGTTTCATAGAGATTAAGTTAATAGCAGCTATTATGAATATTCCAGATTAGCACAATATGGCTTATCTTTTTATGATCTTCAGGTTCTCCAGGGGTGGTTCTGGTATGATAAAAATAGTATTTTGCATCACAAACTTCAGTTTCCTCATCTGAACAATAAACTTAATCTTTACCTAGTTATAAAGTTCAAATAAGATAACCTTTGTGTAAGTACACAGCACAGTCCCTGGTACTTGGTTGAAGGTCAGTTAAGTGTACATTTATTTGTTCAGTTATTCATATTCATGGCCGTTTTAAAATTAATTTTTTAATTGACAAGTAATAATTGTACATATCCATGGCATACATAGTGATGAATTCATCCTTTCCGTCACTTCACTATTATATTGATATATTTGATACATATGATGTATAGTGATCAAATCATGGTAAGTAACATCCATCATCTCAAACATTTATTATTTCTTTGTGTTGGGAATTTTCAATATCCTCATTCCAGCTATTTGAAAGTATATAATATTTATTGTTAACTGTAGTCATTCTGCTGTGGGACAGAACACTAGAACTTATTTCTCCTATCTAGCTCCAATTTTGTGCATCTGTTAACAAATCTCTTCCTAACCCTCCCTTCCCTCTACTCTTTTCAGCCTCTAGTATTCTGTTTTACTTTTTAATTCTATGAGATCAACTATTTTTCTCTCACATGAATGAGAACATGGGGTGTTTAACTTTCTGTTTGCAGCTTATTTCACTTACCTTCCACTTCCATCCATGTTACTGTGAATGGCAGGATTTCATTCTCTTTTATGACCGAATAGTATTCCATAGTGCATCCATATCACATTTTCTTCATCTATTTATTATTGGACACCTAGGTTGATTCTGTATCTTGGCTATTGTGATTAGGGCAGCAATAAACATGGGAGTGCAGATATCTTTTTGACATACTGATTTTCCTTACGTTGGATACTGTAGGGGATAAGGGAGAGCTTTCCCTTGGTTCCCTGATGTTTTGCTGAAAAATCAACTCTCAAAACGCAGATTAATTAGAGAAAAGGCATACAAATTTATTCATCGTATATACACAGGAGACTTTGGAATGAAGATCAAAAGATACAGGGGACATTATCAAAAGATACAGGGGAAAGGTTCAACAAAGTATGGACAGTCATGTAGAAATATGATTGGACAAAAAGGGGTGATCTAATACTAATAGACTGGGGAAACTCAGGAGGGCCGTCTGTCTAGATTCTTTTTGGGTTCTCTGAGTATGCATTCCTTCCTTCCGGGTATGGGACAAGACCCTCTCTAGAACAGGACTGTTACAACTTACAGACAAACAACATAGGTCAGATAATTCCTTTGTGGTCAGTTTTTCCAATGAAAACCAGAGGTAAGATTAGAGTACTATTTATAGGATTTATGACTAGCTTTGAGGAATAGGGGTTCTGGTTTCTATGATCCACCTTGGGGGCCAGGGATTCTAGTTTCTGTGGCTAGCCTCTGTGGAGAATGGGACAGAGAGGCAGGAGAGTGGGAGAAAGAGAAAAATGTTTGCTTCAAGGCTGCTTCTGATACTTTCATTTTGGGATATTGTTTTCTGAGCCCCAGAAAATGTATACTTAGTAGGAGCCTTGCTGTATCATCTGGTAGTTCCATTTGTAGTTTTTGAGGAACTGTTCTCCATAATGGTTATACAAATTTGCATTCCCACCAGTAGTGTATGAGTTCCCTTTTCTCCACATCTTTATCAGCATTTATTATTACTTTTTTCTTTTTGGTAATAGTTATTCTAACTGGAATGAGATGTTATCTTTTTATAGTTTTGATTTGCACTTCCCTGATGATTAGTGGTGGTGATATTTTTTCATATACATGTCGACCATATGTATGTCATTTTCTATCTGTTCAGATCATTTGCCCACATTTTTTGTTGTTGTTTTTATTTTTATTGTTTTCTTGAAACGGAGTCTCGCTCTGTCACTTAGGCTGGAGTGCAGCGATGTGATCTCACCTCACTACGACCTTCGCCTCCTGGGTTCAAGCAATTCTCCTGCCTCAGCCTCCTGAGTAGTTGGGATTACAGGTGCCTGCCACCATGCCTGGCTAGTTTTTTTGTATTTTTAGTAGAGATGTGGTTTCACCTTGTTGGCCAGGCTGGTCTTGAACTCCTGACCTCAGGTGATCTGCCTGCCTCAGCCTCCCGAAGTGCTGGAATTACAGGCGTGAGCCACTGTGCCCAGCCTGCCCGTATTTTAATTGGGTTTGTTTTTATTTGTTGGTTTTTCTGTTGAGTTCTTTGTATATTCTGGATGTTAATCCCCTGTTGGATGAGTAGTTCATTATTCATGTATAAAAATGCTACTGATTTAATTTTGTACCCTACAAATTTACTGAATTCTGTTATCAGTTCTAAGGGGTTTTTTTTGTTTTGTTTTTTTTTTTGGTAGTAAAGTCTTTAGGTTTTTCCATATATTAAGATCATGTCATCTGCATACAGGGACATTTTGACTTCTCCCTTTCCAATTTGGATGCCTTTTATATATCTGCTGCTAATTGCTCTGGTTAGGACTTCCATTAGTATATTGAATAAGAGTACTGAGATTGGGCATCTTTGTCTTGTTCCAGTTCTTAGCTGAAAGCTTTTTCTTGTTCAGTAAGATGTCAGTTGTAGGTTTGTCATATTTGGCCATTATTATGTTTAGGTACATTCCTTCTATACTTAATTTATTAAGAGTTTTTATCATGAAGGGATGTTGAATTTTATCAAAAGCTATTTCTACATCTTATGGTTTTTGTCCTTCTTTCTGTGGATATGTGTGATGTTTATTGATTTGCATTTGTTGAGACATCCTTGCATTCCTGAGATAAACCCCACTTGATTATGATGTATCCTCTTACTGATGTGTTGTTAGAACTCGGCTTGTTAGTATTTTGG